TTGTTCCTTTCAACAAAATAGTTTTCGACGTCAAGGTATTGCGTCTTGAATTTCAATTCCGCCTTACCTTTATCAACCATCTTTGGTAGTATAGTGGTCAGTATTTTCGCCTGTCAGGATCATTCATCCAGCGCGCGAGAGACCGGGGTTCAATTCCCCGCCAAAGAGTATTTTTTTTTTTGGAGAGTTATACTCGTCGCCTGTTTCGTGAGTAGGCAGGCCTCTGTTCTCGTGCCCAGACTTGGGGCAGGCTCCCTTGTGTTCCGCGCTCATTGTGATTTGAGCCAAAATTGTTTCCAGGTTTTTTTTATAGAACTGAAGAGCATATGTGCCCATGCGACGAGTATGTAACATACAAGTCTTTGTTGAGCGGAGGAATGCTATTGCCGACGTCAGATGATTCCAGGCTACAGATGATTGACCTCAGCGAATTTTCTGCACAAATTTCGGCAAACGATTGCCTATTACAGAGAGTTTCATGTGGGCATTTGGGAAAATCAGTTGCGTGTGACCGTGCTCTGAGGTATACGTGTAAAGGCAACACCTTTATGCCAGTCCCGCAATCATATATCGTCTGCTTTAGGAGAGATCCAAAAAGCGTGGAATTGCAATTCGATGAACACCTATAAGGTACTTAGGTAGGTAGTACTAATTCTCCGGGAATGAAACAACACTGCATCTGTGTACATAAGCTCCTTACTTTCTGTAACTTGTAGTCAAGCAGGTCAGAGCCTCGTAGCTACATAACGCATACCAATATTCATACTGGCAAGAATGGGACTCGAGCATTACAGCTCATGGAAAAAAGATACCTGGGTACGGATACACTGCGAGCGAGTCGAGTAACCCAAAAAAAACCCCAAAAAAGCTCTTTGGCGGGGAATTGAACCCCGGTCTCTCGCGCGCTGGATGATCCATCCTGACAGGCGAAAATACTGACCACTATACTACCAAAGATATTAATGTTCGTTGATTCGATTTTGCTATTCAGGATTGGAAATGGAGATCGTGGGGAAATTTCCTGGCTTTCGGAGTTATATGCCGAGGATGCATTTTAATTGTGAAGATTTGGTCAAGTTCAGGATTCGATTAAGAATTGTGAGTGTCTTTAAATTTGTGAGCTTTGGGTACGTACGAGAATTTGCTAACTTGAGTACTTAAGTAGTTATCCTGGGGGCATTCGGCGATACATGTATAGATACCTACCTACCTAGGTACCTACCTAAGGTAGTTCATGTTCATGTTCAGAGTATACCTACGTAACTATATGATATTTCTACGGCACAATTCAGACCCCCCGTATCGATATCGTATCGCAGCTAGCTCGTTGATGGATGCGGCCATATGGAAAGACAAGGTAGGTACTTTCACCATGGCCACTCTCGAGGGTGTCATCGGGTCCCATGCACGAGACATGTGGGTCCCATGTACTTGCCCAATTAGGTAGCCACTAGATTTAGATCTGATACCAGGCTAGATCTAGATCTAGACGCTGGAAACTAGTCTTGGAAACAGCTGCAACGCAGCGCCATCCAGGGCTACAAACAGGGCCATGACGAGAACAGGCCATGGCCATCCATACCTGTCCTCGTGCCCAACACATCCCCATCCCCATCCCAAACGCAAAGTATAAATTGTGCCCGCAAAGACAAGAAAAAAGGAAACTCATATATTATAAACAAACATTTATCGATCCGCTAGTCCCAGATCCGCGCAAACATCGCTCCGGATTCACCTAAATTACACACCCAAGTACTTAATTATATACTGACCTACCTAACTTATAATTAAACTACACACCACAATGTCCAAACTAATGAAGCAAACAATCACTCTCTGGCCGACGGACACCCTCGGCCCTCATGATATCGATCTTGGCCCCCCCAGACCCTCCGGATCCGACGGAGGCTACTACCAGTACCAGTACCAGTACCGCCGGATCCCCCTCCTCCGCAGAAAGCCCTATGCGCGGGGTCCTCCATACCCCTCCTCCTCCTCCGAAATCGACGCCGAGCTCGAGTACAAAGTCGCGATCCTGGCGCTGGTTGGGTTCGCGGTGCTCGTCATGATTTTCGTGTACTGTTGTTGGGCGGCGAGTATGAGGGAGAAGATGCTGATGGAGGCGATCGTGGGGCAGAGGGAGAGGAGGGGGGGGAAGAGGGGCGGTGGCGGTGGGGGGGAGGAGAGAAGGGAGAAGGCTGGCGCTAGAGATGCATATGGCGGGGGTTATGTATATGGGGAGAGAGCTGGAGCTGGGAATTCCGGTAAAGAGTACAGCAGAGGTACGGGTTATGAGGCCAGGGGAAGCGGCGCCGGATATGGGACGAGAACAGGGTATAATTATAGAGATCTAGATCTGGACACAGAGATATAATTATGGTATACACATATGTACTAGTATGAGCCTTCAAGCCTGGTTTATCGCAATTGAAGATATCGATATCAGGTTTCCATGTTATGCTCATGTTATCTTGCGAACAACTAGTACAAGAATTTATAAAATAAAAAAAATATTATTGCAATTGAAGCAGCGAATTAAATCGCTGACTCACATTGACGATATGGAAATGTTTGCAAGAGTGGCCTAGGGGCATGTCAAAAGTGCCTACTTCGGGGGGAAGAGAATTAAAACAAAGCCCTTCGTGAGGTTAAACAAATTTTTACCTCCGCCATACAACTGGCGCTGTAGAGGTGCGCCATACAAAGCCAAAATCATTACCTCGGTAGTCTTGGCACAACGCCCTCCTGTGGAGGCAAGGTAAGAGGTTGCAATTGCAAGAACGAGGAATTTACAAAAATCTCAGCCGCGACAAAAATCTATCGATCGATCAGGTACCTCCCTACCGTAGGTACCTTGAGTACTATCTGGTAGCTCTAGTGTGAGGAGGAGGAGAACCCGGACCTTCGAGTTTCGCGAGGATAATATTAATCGTGCGCGATTGAGGGACACAGCGAGAAACCGTCGAGAATCGAGTATCGACGCGAGCTTGCTATCTATACGCGCGACAAATTGAAGCATAGGTGCGCTGATGCGCTAACGATAAATGCAGGGCATCAATGTCGCAGACGTAGCCTCGAGGCTATCGCAGACGAGCTTTGAGGACATCACAGACGAGGAAAGGCATAGGAATGGTAGCAGACGGGTCGAGACCGGAGGACGGGGACGACAAGAATGGGGCGGCGACATGCTACGAAACTAGGCGACAGGAGAACTTGCGACGAAAGTAGCGACCGAGGAAAGGTCATTGACTGAGATTAATGGAAATGCGACATGGAAGCCCCCAGTCTCGAGGAAACCCCAGCAACGACAGATGATCCGATGGAGTCCATTGAACGCGACACCGAAGGCTTACGTCGAGTGCAGGATCGAGAGCAGACAATAGCCGAAAACACCATCAAGTTCATGGTAAAGCACACCATCGCTGAAAACAAACAAACCCAGCACCATAAAAACAAAACCAACTCTCACTTTTTCAAAACCCAGGAGCAGAGCCCAGGCCATGATAAAGAAAGCACATATCGGAAGGATCAAGTCCCAATAAGAAGAAACCAAAAACTCCGCACTCGAGATGACCCGAAGGCCATTCACGGGACAGGGTGCCAGACGATGTGCAATGTCGGCCCTGTCCGCGGGCTCCCAGTTTCAATGAGCTTGGGAGCCAGTGCAAGGTAAGTATGAGGAACAGAAGAGGGTGCGGGGGACGGGGAGATTATATAGATTTTGTGGGTGCCTGCCAAGCCCGCTCAAGGTCCTTGCCCTCGCCAGCGCCGACAGGGGGAAGCGGCGGAGCGGGCTTGGCGGCTGGCGGTGACTGGATTGATGGGCACGGGACTAGGATTGATGCATTGGAGATGATTACCGGAATGGGAACAAAGCTACCGGAACGGGACTAACGGCCCCCATTCTATCTTCGAGTCTATTCTATGAGGGTTTCTGGTGGTCTGTACTTTGTGCGAAATATTTGAATACTAAAAAATACCTTTATTCCTAAAGAGTTCGGTATGAATGCTAGCGATCGCACAGCGCTTAAATTTAAAAGGTTACAATCTTGAGAGCAAGGAAATATAGGATAGGTATATTTTCGGGCTGCGGAGTAGCGGATGTTGCAATGCGGTATCCAAAATTCCAGGCCACGACAAGTACAAACTCGCCAGATCATGGGTACGATTGATGACGATATATAACATGTACTTAATGTATGCAAAATATTTTGCAAACTTGACAACTTAAAATAATAGTGATATAGATGTACCGGCCGTAGAACTCGGCGCATAAAATTCTACTTTGTATTAGATATCCCGAAGGTAATTGCAATATCAAGAATAAAAATGAAAATGGAGATCACATCACGGCACTAAGAGCTCTTTTCCTAGCAAACGTTAGCGATGTCATATGGTCTGTCCCATTGCAATGCAATGAACCATACGCCTCTGTCCCATTCCGTAGTCAGTCATGGTATGTGGCTTTCTATGGCGCACCCTCTCCCATTTAAATTTATCTTGCTCTCACGAAATTTCAAGCCTTATTCTCTTCTCAAGTAGATCTGTATGGGGGGTTAGGTATATGCCCCACGGAGAACCTCTGTAATTACGAAATACTATGGATCTAAATGAACAAAAGCTTCACACCATACTATTATATTATGCTGCTCGTTGATAGCTCGCGATCGCTGTAGTTGATATCGATAATGAGGATTATAATTATAATCTATATATCCCCTCGAACAACCCCTCGTGTGCCGGAAGCTACTTCAAGTGACTAAATATCGCTGAGATTCTTCCTCGATGGAAGGCTAATGTAGCTAGCATGCAATATTAATAGACTGGCCATGGGGAAAATGCTCCCGCCTTTGTTTTTAGCTTCCGGCACATGTACATTTAGCTCGGGATACACCTCTATCAAATTCAGATATCAAAAGATCTGCACGCCTCCCCCGCCATGCGTAAAACCAGGCAAAGGATCGTATGTCACATGTAATCACGAGGTGGCATGAAACAAGGCCCGGTTGGCTCAGTCGGTAGAGCGTGTGACTCTTAGTTTGTGATCATCACCAGTGATGGTTCCAGATAAGTTTATCTCAAGGTCGCGAGTTCGAGCCTCGCATTGGGCTGTAATACTTTTTTTTGGTTTTGTTCAATTACTTTTTCTATATGGTGGGTGGGTGGGTGCCCTTTGAATACCTTGCGAACAGTCGGTGGCTTTTCGATGGCGTTGATGGCGCACCCTCTAACCCGTAAGTTGGGATTATAACTGGTTTTGATTTGTTTCTACGAATTCGCAAAGGTTTTGTTCGAATTGTTCGAATTGAATGCTCTTCTTGGGTATGTATAGGCAAGAAGTGTAGGTACTTTGTAACATGTACATGCCAATTCCCTACGCACAAACTTTTATCGATCTAGATCTACAGCTATGAGGTATACGAGGTAGCTATATTAAAAACTATAACAATACCTGAGATAGCTATAGGTAGGCATAGCTATCTGTATGAGAGAGCGCAGACTTTGTGATCATGATCATGGTCATGAGGGCAGTCAATGGCCGGTCAGATCTCCGGGATGTAATCGGGGATTTTTAGTTGAATCAAATTGGGTCAGGGCAGCCCTCAGATGCTAGCACGAGAGGACGCATGCATGGCCAGAACCGGGCACGAGACTACCAGAACCTAACCTTGTTGTTAGCTAGCCCCGTCCATCAATATGGGTGGCAACCATCAACAATCAACAAAGAACCGCAACCATCGAAACAAAGAACAGCATCGTCAACGCCTAAACAGCATCCGCAATTTGTGGCCTTTGCATTGGCCATAACTCCCCTCCCAACCAGCACCCCGCGGCCATCTCTGCTTCAATCCCATTCTCATTTTCAACCCCACTGCGGCCATATTCAACGCCTACGTACTTAACCACCCACCAACAGCGACCGCGCCCGCGCCCTGCTCAGCATCACGACCTTGATTACACACGAGAAACAACTTGATCCATACATACGGTGAAAAACAAAAGACGACATACAGCATCTCTACCCCTGCCTCATAAGAAATGAGTGCTCGTGGCCGTGGTCGTGGTGGTGCCGGTGGTACAGCTGCTCCAACTGCAGCCGCTGGGACCACTGCTGTTGTTCCGATTGTTGCCGCCGAGCCTGCCCCCGCCGCGGCAGCCCCTCGAGTCCGCAGACGCGGCGGTGCTGCACCGCCCCCGCCCCCGCCCCTCGCTGTGGCTGACCCCGCTCCCCCTCCCGCCCCCCGCGCCGCGCGAGCCCCAGCCCGGCCCCCGCCCGATGAAGACCCCGCTCCCGCTCCCGCTGCCCGCCCCGCGCCAGGCGCCGCCGCCCCCGCCGCCCCCGCAGCGAGAACGCGATACCCCCTCGCCCCGGACACAAAGCTCCCCCTGCCCGCGGCATACGTCTTCGTCGGCAAACCCCCCCTCCCCGTCGCCCTGAAGCACTTCTCCAGCTGGCTCGACGCGCTCCAAAGAGCCAGCGACGCCCACGAGATATACATCTCCAACCTCACCACCATCATCAATAACCTCCCCACCGACAGCGCCGACAACCACGTGCCCTATGCGGCCAGGCAGCGCGCCACGCTGTCCGAGATGGTGGCCAGCACCGCGGCCGGGTCCGCGCAGATCGCCGCGGCGGCGGACGCGCTGGAGAAGATGTGGGAGGGCAATGTTGTTGGCACGCTCGTGAAGGAGGTGGACGATAACGGTGTCAAGGAGGCCGCGGTCACGGGGCTGGCGTATTATGCGGTCGATGTGAGCGCGGAGGGTGAGAGGCTGGCGGATGTGGTGAGGAGGGCGAGGGAGGCGGTGGAGAAGGGCGCGGTGGTGACGGAGGTGATGGAGTTTGTGGAGGAGTATGCTCCCAAGGCCGAGCCGAGGGCGTTGAGGGTGCTTCCGCCGGGCTTTGTGAGGCCGGGGATGGGGGCTTAGGGTGGAATCGCGTTGACGAGAGTGGGTTGAGTTGTGTTGTGTTGGGTTGCGCTTCATCTTTGACTTTGAACTTGTTTTGTCTATGCAGTAAACACTTACATGGGTACCTGCTCATGTACCTAATTAAGAATAAAATCAGATTTCTTGAAAGAATAAAGTTAAATACCAAAGCTAGAGGGAGGATCGATAGAATTCCCAGACCTAGGATTTGAAAAAACGTTTTATAACAAACCTCAGGGCGCTCGAGGAATTACGAATTCAGCATCGATAGACATAATACGTCCTATCTACATATGTATATATGAAGGTAGGTAGTTTAAACATGCCTCAATTGAAGTGGTAATCCTGCATATATATAACCAAACGTAAACCGTGTATATATTGCATATGATACATACCAGTAATTCGACTCTGGGAAGCGTAAGTGCGTATGCTAGGCCTACATCGAAAGCTCAGGTAGCTAGCTAGAGCTAAGTATGAAGAAGTTACCAGTAGGCGGGCCATGGCCACAGCCTTCGACTTTATAATTAGATACCTACCTACCTAAACCAATGACCCTTAACTAAACCTTGACGTTAAGCCTGCCTGACTCTGACTCCCAAAATTTAAAACGTACATCAAGTATATATGTAATTTTAACGCGGGTAGCTTAAGCTTGAAGTACATGTACACATGCACGTCAAAAATTAATTTCATTTAATCAAACAAAGGAATTGACTACCTAGATAGAGCTCAGGGGCGGGGCTGGGTGGGGAAAGCCTAGAAAGAAAGAGGGCGGCGTTGCATAACTGGCAGGCTGACACCTCAGGCACAATTTAATACTTTACATTGTACATTTACGTGTACATGTACCGTACGAACCAAACAAACAAACAAAGAGAGCTTCGAGCTGGCAAAATTGAATTCAAATGAATTGTGATGGTTGCGTGCTGCGTGTTGCGTGTTGCACTTGGAGTTCAGTGGCGTGGTGTGGTGGATTGTTTGATTGTTTGGTTGTTTGGTTGTTTGATTTTTTGGTTGAAACTAGACCTATATATAGTCTAGACGTTGACTGCAAGTAACTATATGTAGTCGGGCGAAGAAATATTAATATATACCCACGATTTCCGGTGTCCCGCCGAGTTCGATGTTGATGTTGTATAGCTAAAGTATAAGTAGCCTAATTATAAGATAAGTCAAAGAAGATTATTAAACCAACGTTAACCAATATACATACATATCGATACCTAACCTACATAATATTCCATCCATTGAACTCAACTTCAGGTCAACTCGACCTGGCTGAATTCAACATTCAAAAGCACGTGAATAGGCGATGTAGTAACAATGTAGATGGCCCGATAGTCAAATTTATTAAATGTCTATGAGAACTGCCAATCGATATCCTTGCTTGATTGATTGAATTTTTGCGGGCCATTAGTGAAAAAACCCGCTTTGCTGAATAGCCTGGAACAAATCAAATCTACACGTGCCAGAAACAATAGTGTGATTACTTAGTAAGCATACTGCCTGAAATGGACACAAAAGCGTAAATTACCTAAGTAGTGCTTTGCGTCCAAAAGTGGAAGCGTTGAGGCAAAGGACGGTGTGTGAGTGACAACGTGGGAATGCCTGGTGTCGTTGGTATATATATCATTTTGGTATTTTATGGTCAATGTATTCATTCACCTTAAATTTCCCGTACCATAGTTAACTTATGGATTAGAAGTTTGCAATATTAATCTCGAACCAGATGGCCATTAACATGTAAGCACATGCATATGTGCACTGTAAGTAGCCTCAACAATGTAAGCATGATATAAAACCACAAACCACATCTTTTCAGCTAGCCCCAGAGTCTATATATGCGTTTTCTGGTGGAGGGAGGGGAGTCATTTCATTTCCGGTAGATCAATCAAGGTTCCGTTTAATTCTCAGGGATCTGGTTGTGGCGCATGCATGAGGGGTCCGGTTTTTGATTCCTCGGGGTTCAAGAAATGAGTCCCCCAGGGTTATAATTAGGTTTAGTTGCATCGTACGTGCATGCCCATCACATTTGCCCACTTAAGCTTTGTCTCAACCTTAAGCTTGATCACGTCGATATCGATATCGACTACCGCCACATGTACAGCGACACTTACCTTACCATCAACTCGTGTCGCCGTACCCGTGGCGCAATGTCAACCATTGCTGATGCATTATAATCTTAAGCTTTGTTGAAGCAAATTCGAGCATTAATTAACTCAGATATATAACTATATACCAGCACTTACAGGGGTAAATCTCGTAGGGGTGGGGGGGGGGGGGGTTGCCCCCTGGCTGTATCGATTCCACATCATACTTATATGATAGATAACCCATTAAATTAAATCGGACATATTCTACTCAAGTGTCATTTTTATAAGCTCGTCACATTTAAGTTCGTTACACATGTCCTCCAAGGGGATTCGAATGGGGTGTTTTCGTTACCTCATGTGACCTACTTTGTATTCAGTGTGCAAAGCCATGATGTACATGTTGGCACATCAGGAACGCTCTATTTCCGCTATAGCGATCCGCTAGGCCGGCTTTAGCAGAGGATTGATATCAAGGATACCCTATATATATGAAATTCATTATTTTTTTTGGATTCTACCACTCGGGTAAGAAATTCACAGCTCCCACGTGCACTTAGTTTAGAAGGACAAAGGATTAACATTGTTGTTGTCAGAATGTGTCTCCTGTACACGTGCACTCATATCGAAATATCGCATCGCATAGTACTTCGAATTCTTACCAAGTGATATTTCCGCCTCACCTCCGGATCCTAATACCCAGTACTAATTATAATGCGAACAAGTCGATTCAAAAAGTGAACTTTAACAAATAGTATGTGTTCAGTACAGTACTCTTTGGTTTGAATTTTTCACAAGATAAAAAAAAAAAAAGTTATCTAATTTTGTTGGCGAAATGCATATGTGCCTTAATCTCCCTCTCTTAACTCATGCATTGCTCCAGAGCATCAAATCACATTAAACATGCTAAATTATTAATTATTTCCCCTGATGGTATTACTGCAATAATACCCACCCGTGCTAGAATTGACTGTAGAATTCTTTTCTCTTTGTGGTACTAAAGCAATGGATCCTTCGAATTCGGTTCTCCCGAATCACACCCTCCAAATTTCGCGCGCCGGGACTATTTTTATGGGTACAACTGG